GGCCCGTAAGCATCCCAAAAATTGCCTTCTATCATCAACTCCTTGTAAAGGACAAAGAGACGATGGGAAGAACTTCGATGGTAAAAACTTCGCTGCTGGCTAGAAAATATTTCCTATACCTTCCACACCAAAGGTGACATCAAGGCAAATAGTAAAATGGGCGGACTAAACAGTCCATTTTCGGATCGGATTGATTGTCAGAATGCCAAGCAATGGCAGCAAATTAGTTTCGAAGAAGAAAATGAAAATGAAGATGGAAGATGGAAAATACGAAGCATTTATAGGAGGATGGAGATGGAGAGACAGAGTATGAACAGCCACATTTCTGCCTAGTAAATGGAATTAAATAGTCCAAAGTCTTGGGAAAAGTGGTGGAAATATCAAAAGAAAATGGACAAAATTTTTAGCACAAAGCAGTTAAATGCTTGAAGAATTGACGACTAAAAAACAAACGTCAAATAAATGCACAAGAAGTTAATGTTCATTAATGATGAACAAAGTTACAAAGGAAAAATCAAATTACAATAGAAAAAAAGGACATCATGTGTCTTAATTACAGTCCACCCCATACTGAACGAATTCGTCCCCTAAATTTTTCCCAATCCTCGTTCTGCCAAGAGGAAGTGATGTTCAATTCGGCCGCGACATCATTATCAACTTCCAACTTCTTGTACTGCTCGACCAAGGACTTAGTTCGCTCAATTCCCTGGGAGGCGTTGCACTTTTTAGTAGCCATTCTCGCCCTGCAGTCGTCCATTTTGGCTTGAAGTTCCTTCATCTGAGCAGCCAAATTAACCATCAAAGAGTCTTCAACCATGATTTCGGAAGAGATTTCTTTCAACTCATCCTCAACCTTGTTAATCTCCATACGCAAAGATTCTTTCCTCAACCTTGTTAATCTCCATACGCAAAGATTCTTTCTCAGCTACGGCTCGAAGATATTGAGTACTTTTGGCCTTTAGTTCAGCATTCTTGGCCAGCAAAGAAAGGATCTCGGAGTGGATAACCTTCAACGTCGCTTTAAAATCGACAGAAAGATTGAGCGACGGAAGCATCAGTGCTTGCTCCAACTTCGCATTCAAATGCTCAAGTTTATCCTTGTGTTTGGCAGCACTAGCCCTTCCAATGTCCATATCCATGAAGGACACATACTCAAATATCGACTCCTTGAGGAACTTTAAATCTTCCTCTGAAAAAGCAGCAGGACGATCAGATGAAGCAGGGCGAGACGTCTGGACTTGCCCCCAGGAAGCGAACAAGTCTTGGATATAACGCACAATTTTGTCAACATCCTGCAAAGAAAATTGTCAATATTAAAGATTCTCACTACAACGAACAAGATAGAAATAGAAGTGAAGCAAAGACTACCTCATCAACAATCGTAGAAGATGGCATGTCCTCAGCCAAGTTTGCCACCAACGACTCCTCCATTCGTGAGGACTTCCCCTTGTCTGAGCGAGAAGATGTTGCCACAACGGGCGGACTCATAAGAGTATCTGCAAAACTCAATAGCAACAAATCAGAAACCCACGGCACAAGCAAAGGTAAGACATCAAAAGACTGAATTAACTTCTGCTTCGATGTTTGGGGGGTTGACGCCCTGGGAAGAAGGTGGCTCATCCATGGGTTGTGATGAAGACTCTGGGACTGAAGATGTCTCTTTAAGCGTAGCCCCCTCATCAACCGGTTTGGATGAAGTAGGCTCAACGGAGGATGATGAAGCAGGAGCTGTCGATGCCAAAGCCTTTGAAGGAGAGGCTGAGCTTTTCTGAGAAATCCAAAAGATCATCAGCACACAGAAAAGTTTCAAGTGTGGAAAAGTATGCTTGTGAGTAAACCAATTTAATTACCTTCCTCCTGACGATAAGAGGGGCATCATCATCATCATCAACATCATCCTCCAGAATGGGAGATGCTGAGGCTGGCCGTTTGCGGTTTTGGGGCACTCTTGGCTGTAGTAGGCTTGGCAGGGAGAGAAGAAGATGGACGAGCAGACTATTTAGTGCCACGAGAAGGAGAAGGACTCCGAACGGACAAAGGAGTAACTAAAACAGGAGGAGGGGAAGAAATGCTCGGCTGGTCTAGTGAATGAAAGGCACGATTGGCGTCAGTCGCAAATAATCTGCGCTTCACTGACGGCCAGAGTTGTTCAAAAAGAGGGTGAATGGCGTGGCTAGAATTGAAAGGGGCTAACGAAAAATGGCTGGTTAAAAGAAGATTGTGAGCATTTATAGCCTCTGCCTCCGCCTTATTAATAGTATGAAAACGGTCAATTAAGTTCCTTGAATAGCAAGGAGGAACAGGCCAAGTTTGGCCGAAACCAAGCTGGCGAGCAAAAAATTGGGGAGCATAAATTTCTACCCCCGTCTTGGCATTGGTCCCAGTTAAAATATCATGAAATAGTTCCCTCCCGGTTAAAAACTGGATCCAAATAAGCAGGGAGGTGTTCGCGCTGTCTATAGTGGAAGGGGGATGTACATAGTTTGGAGTCAAAAAAGGAGGAAAAGGAAAAAAGGAAGAGATTGAATCCAAAGAATAAAAGAATGAAAAAATGTCCCTTCTGGACATATTTACAGGAGCCAAGGGCTCCATGGCTAGCCCATAACAGCTAGCAGAGGAGCGAGAAATTGATGGAGCACCAAGCAATGGAAAATAGGATCTCAACCACAGTTGAGTGAACCAAAGAGGTCCACTGCCAGTGGGAGATGCACCATTCTTCAATTGAGTTTGAAGAGAGGCCATGCCTCTATAAAGGGCAGCCAAAAACAAAGAACATAAATTCAAAGGCCTGCCACGTGCCAATTCGTGTGCTATAGGTAAGTAACTCAGGGAGGGCTTTATGCTTGGCACACACAAAACATATTTACAAAGCCAAACTAGAAGGAAGGCCACTCGCTCAGTGTGGGAAGGCTCAGCGCTCGAATGATTGTGAAGGGTTTGCAGGCTTGAATAAGATTCGGTGTAGTTTTTACCAAACTTTGGGGCACCACCAGAAACCAAGATACCAGGAAAAATGGTATCGCCCAAAGGTGGTAGATTTACCAGGGCCCCAACATCCCTTAAGGTAATAGACATGGGGCCAAGAGGGAAAATAAAGGCATTATACTCGGAAGACCAAAAACTCAAAGCAATCGAAAAGAGTGCTGAATCAAAAGTAGGGGGGCGAATAGAGATTTCTAACAAATCAGAAATCCTAGCGCTATCAAAAAGTGCCTTAGTAGGACCATGATCCACAAGGCGAGCATGCCACCTACGGAAAGCTACATCAGATTTAGGCCAAGTGCGAATACCTCTTTCGCGAATTGGCCCCAGCGGCAGAGAGTTTAGAAATGGAAGGCCTTGAGTACAAGGAAACAGCTGACCCATCGCCGCCTATTCAACTGCCTCTGCATTGTTGAAAAAAGGACCTAAGTAGAACTTATTGCTTTCAACGTCGACGGGCGCGAGAAAACTCGGAGTTATGTATGGACGACTCAGAAGTTTTTGAGAGTCATCAAAACTAAAGGAGTCGCCAACTTGAGATTGTGAAGTAGCCATTTGAGATGGAATGAAATTTTTCAGAGTTACGTAGCAGGGAAGCAAAAGATGAACAGTAAATCGTGAGAGAGACGCGAAAAATTTGAGGCGTGATTTAGTGGTGCAGTGAAATGGTGTGTTTGGGGGTTATAAGGGTTTGCGAAACGACGCACCTTTTCAAGTTATAGAAGAAAACAATGATTGAAATTTTTGGGAATTTCGAATGTTGGTTGAAACACAAAGTGAATGTGGCAAAATTTAATAATTATTATTAATTCTGCCATATTGGGGGGTAATTGTTGACACATAAAAATTCAGCCCAAATCAAACGGCCCAAGGAGTGAAGCCCAATTGGGGGATCCCCAAATTAGATAGCCCAAAGAACGAAACCCAATCAAACAAATCAAGATGAAGACCCAAATAGGGAGGCCTAAGAACGCGGTAACGCTATCGCACAAGCTTGCAAGTCGTCCAGAATTTGAGCGAATGGAGTGCCATACAGTCGCCCAGAGCTGTTACTCTATTCTCGCCCAAACCTTCAAGTCGCCCAAAGTCTTAACAAACATAAAGCGTTGTGGTTATCAAGAAGTGCAGTTATCAAAGCAGTTATTAAAGTAGCCCTATCACGTTCCACGATTCAAGGAATTCAATTGAAAGCGGTTGAACGACGAAAAATAATGGGAGCAGTTAAAAAGGGCAGTTTTCATGACAAGTTGGCTATTACGAAGAAAGTAGGCAGTTATAGGACGATCAAACAGTTTTTTTAGGCGGTTGATCACAAAGAGATCGTCCATGAAGTATAAAAGGGAGAAAAGACATAAAGCAAAGGACCGAATCAAAAACTCTCGAACAGAGAATATGTAATTTTAATTTTCTTAGCTGAGACTTAAACACTTTTCTTTCAGTAACTCGTGTGCTTGCGCCCCTTGGAGGCACATTATTTTTAATTTCCAATTGTAAAGTCATCGTCAATAAAAGAACACCCCTTTTTGAAATTTTGTCTCAAGAGGTTTGTCCCTTACACAATCGTTTGATCCCTTTTAATTGTTAGCGACTAACCCGCGCAAAACAGAATCAAAGAGAAAAATTTATATCACTTAATTGTTCATTTCGTTTGGTTCAAGTTAGAATCAAAGCCGGTGACCGATTGTGAACTGAAGGATTTTCCTTTTTTAAATTAAACCATACATGGTGACGTATTTTATTAAAATCGTAAAAATAAGAATACCACGGTAAGAAAGAGTTACGCCTATCAAGCTAAGCTTCAACCAATGGGGAAAAAATACTGTGCGAAAGATGGGGAGTACAATATAAGGCTAAATGGCTTCTGGGAGCAGATTGCCCGTGGTACACAGGAACATGGCGTGACATGCCTCATCTCCAGGTAGCCCAAAAGTCTCGTAAAAGAATTAAACCACATTTTACCACATACTCTAGAATTATAAAACTGCATTAGTTTTCGTAGTACCAAACATATCTATAAGTGGATAAAACTAAATAGTGTAATGAACAAAATTTAAATTTTTTCGTTCCACAATAGTGAACATTACAGGTGGATCTTCTCTACCAATAATACAAGGAGAGTCAAGGTCATCTTTCATACATTGAGATTTTCAGTACAGTAATAATGGCATAAAGAAATAAAATCTATAACCCAAGTTTCTTTGGTCTCAAATAAGTAGAAGAGCCTCGTTTCAGTCCGGGCATTGAAACTTGCTGCTGTTCCTTAACCCTCTTTTTCTTCTCCCTCTCCTTAGTCTCCCTCTCTTCATCCTCTTGCAATTTCCTCAAGTTCTCCATCTCTTCTTCCATGGCTGTTTTCTCTTGCTTCTGTTTCTTCTTATGCTCCAACATTGATATATCCGACTCCTTCACTGAGAAAAACATGGGTCCCAGCTCGGCTAGCCAATGAGGCTCGACTGACGTGGCACATTGCATGTACTCTTTCGTTGTCAATATTAACTCGTGATAAACTACATAATCTGGAGTATAACCCAACCCGTAAAGAGCACTGCTTGGATGCAAGTGGCATGGCATTCCATTCCTGCAGTTGACATACTCCCCAACTCCCTTGAGTCGTGCTGCATTATGGAAGTACGCAGAACATATGGCTTTTCTCACAACGTCCCAATCAGGACCACAAGAAGTGAGTGGTATCTTCAGTGTCTTGAGAATATCTAATAACTGGGATCTTACCTCTCTAGCCTTGCGCAACCCCTTAACATGAAGAAAATGGTCGTTGCACCAGTCACCCCGATACTGATTAGCCTTCCACTGCTGGTACACATTCAAAAGCGTGAGGTGGTCAGACTCTGGCACAAAAAATTTCTCCCTAGCAGCATCACTCTCCTCCACCCGATCCTTGGGTCGGAAAAAAACAGACGGTACTGAAAGCATCGACACAACTGTCAAAACCTCGTTAATGCATCCAAGCTGCTCACCCATCAAAAGCATCTTAGCAAGGGGAGGATCTAGCGGAAACTCGACCATTTTCCAACCAAGGTCTGTTAAATTACCAACATTATTCAGCGCGCCCAAAACCCACAACTGGTACATGGAATTAAGGATGTTTTCTTGAGGAGGAGGGTCCATAAAATCAAAATCCAATAAGTTGTCAATCTTTAAAGACTTGAGCAACAAAACCACATTGCCAAGGTTGGTTCTTTGGATCTCTGGCACAGGACTAGGCAGCATTTCATTTAGGTATGCACTCTCTGTATATAATCGATAGCAAGTTCCAGGCCCGGTTCTTCCAGCACGTCCAGCCCGCTGGTCAGAAGCAGCTCGACTTACAGGGAACACTTGTAGAGCATCCATACCCATACGCGGGTTATACACTTTTATTTTACCATAGCCCGTGTCAATGACATAGAAGATCCCGTCTACAGTCAAAGATGTCTCAGCAATGTTTGTAGCAACTATACACTTGCGAGCTCCATCTTCAGCTTTCTGAAATATCTTTGCTTGCAAGTCAGCGGGCAGCTGCGAATATATGGGAAGAATTAACAGCTTAGGAACTTGCTTGTTTGAGGATTCAAGCGATTCCATGCGCTCAGCAAGAGCATAACAGGTTGCTTCAATCTCATCTTGCCCGGTCATGAAGATAAGTATATCACCTGGATCACTTGTAATGTGGATCGTCATAGCCTGTTTTACAGCAGCCTCTACATAATCCTCGCAAGGTGTCTTACTGTACAAGACTTTAACTGGAAAAGTTCTTCCGGGAATGTGAAATATTGGTACACTGCACAGAAATTAGTAGAGAAAATTGAAGGACCATTTCATTTAAAATTTATTTTTTTTTTTTTTTTTTTTTTTTTTGGGGGGGGGGGGATTAGGAACCCAGTAGGGGAGGGTGAAACGGATGGGGAAAGGGGAGGCTGGTCTGTAGTGGGGAGGAGAAAGGGGTGAGGAAGAAGATGGATTGACAAAAGATAAGGTGAAGTCAATTTTCAGTAAGATAAAATTAGCATGAGCTGTAGTAGAATTGGGGGGAAAAATGACATTAGTCACTTTGTCCAATACAGGACTTTCGAAAAATTCAACTCAAGCAAAGAGTTCACTCTGTAAAGGACAAAAAGAATGTATAAACCATATTTTCCTGGACTAGTAGTTCAAAATAAGGATGATTACCTCCCGAAAAAATTTGAGAATTTCTCAGCATTTAGAGTGGCAGATGTTACAATCAGCTTGAAATCACGGCGTCTGGCAACGACTTTCTTGAGGATTCCAAATAGCACATCGGTACTTAGTGATCTCTCATGTGCTTCATCCATTACGACAATACTAAAAGATTAAAGATATAGACGGTGAAATACTTTGTACAAGTTACCCCAATGATATTTAAATCATAGTATCAAATTATTTATAAAATTCATACCGATATTTCTCAAGATCAGCATCTTTTAATGTCTCCCTTAGAAGTACGCCATCAGTCATGTACTACAAAATATAGAAAACAAATTGAATTTTTAGCTTTGCATAGATGTGCAGTTTTAATTATGGTCGTAGACGAGAATGCCAAGGCCATCAACAAAATACTTGTTAACATGGTGGAAAGAACAGACATGTCTATTACCTTTATCACCGTGTTTGGCCCAGTTACATCCTCAAATCGGATTGCATATCCAACTTTATCACCAAGCTCAGTTTCCATTTCTTCGCTTACTCTTTTAGCAACACTCATGGCCGCTACACGCCTGGGTTGCGTGCAACCAACAACGCCATTCGCTGTGTAGCCATCTTCATGCAGATACTGCCAATTTTTACATATGAGGTAACTGATGAGTGATGACTATAATATTTTGAGATTTTATTTTATAAAAATAAAATAATGGGTAAAAATAGACCCTGCTTGGCCCCAACTATTTGAAGCACCTTTTTTCCCAAACTCATTTTCAACCACACATTTTATGAGACCTAAAACTTCTATCAACTTCTCAACCACATATTTCATCAACATATATCAAACTCTACTAAAAAACTTTAGCCAAACCAAACAGGGGCATGGAATATTGAAGTAACCATTTTATGACAACTGTTTATTAGTGAACTAAAATATTTATGAGTCAATATAGATGCATAAGTGTATGATTGCAATTGTAAATAAACCTGGGTCAGTTGTGTTGTCTTTCCAGAGCCAGTTTCTCCAACCACCACCACAACCTGATTTTCGCGGACCACCTTCATCAATGAAAGCCACCATTAATTAAGAAAAAAAGGAGCAAAATTAAGGATTTTAAGTTCTTTTCAAGGGGCTTATGCAAAACCTGCAGCAACTCCTCTCGAACAGAAAATATGGGCAAATACTGCCGTTGTTGTGCTAGTGTTTTTGATTTTGCAAAATCGCTGACCGCTTCACCCTTCTTCAAATGCTGAGAAAATTTGGCCTCTTCCTTGAAATCAACTTCACCTTCTTCACCTACTACAGCAGTATCTGCATCAATCTGGCAATTAATATGGAAAATCTTTAGATATGACTGTCCAATGCAAAGTTGTTAGCCTGATGACTTTGGAAAATTAAAAGTTTAAGCATACCTGTTCTGCGGTCTTCTCAACACCAAGGATATCACCTAGTTTTGAGCCAGCAAGCTCCCAAAATCGTTGCCGTGACTTGTTCATGCTCTGCTTCTCACGAATTTCTCGTACAAGAGTTGATCCTTTGCGGGATATAATAGCCATGTCTGATGTTGGGTCTTTTAGTGGCATAATTGGTTCAGCTTGTTTCGTGAAAACAATCCTCCCATCAAGAAATGGGGGCTTTGTATCTGTTATGAGAAAAATGGTGAACCTCTAAACATATATAGGAACTTCGCATCTGGGTCACATGTAACATTATCATACATTAGATATGGTGAAGAAATGATTTCTTACCATGGACAAGAAGAATAACCTTCTTTTCATCCTCATCATCAAATTCTGTCTGCACCTCTGTTCCTCTTACAGCTCCAGATCTAAGAAGTTGGCGGTCCTCCCACTGGGCATTATCTGCAGTGAGCTGTGATAATTTTTTGCTCTGAGCGAGAGTCATCTTGCTCCCATCTCGCCGGACCTGTGATAAGGTGAAGCAATCAATGAATGACTGAAATAATCAGATTATCAAGGTAAAAGATTTTGTTATGCACAAAAAGGACAGGAGATTTATAATAAATGGACTTAAACAACATTTTGCTAAAAGCTTCGGCTGTTAACATATCACAAATCCCACTAAACAGTCAACTAGAAGAGCATAATAGCATTATCAGCCCCCATCTTGCAGATATAAATGTGGCAAGATAAAAAAATAAATTAATTAATAAAAATAAATAAATAAAACCATTAACATGGATCATCAAATTCCCTAATTTCTCTTGCCATATAGATCAATAAACAGGAATTAAAGCTATAACTAGAAATGACCTAATCATAATTAGGGACCATGGGTATTCGACAAAATAGAGTACACTACTGTTTTGTTTTTTTTTTCCTTTGATAAGTATTAAGTAATTTTATTAATCGTGGATAATACATGGGGGGTGTATTATCAATTTAACCAAGAAAGAAACGACATAAAGTTTGGCAGCCCTTCTACATGATTATTGGCTACAACCTTAAACCAAGTATACAAAATCATATAAAATCATTCTCTAATTTGCTCTGTTGTTCTTGCTTGGTCTTCAAAACAACGGCTGTTCCATTCTCTCTATACACACCATACAATGCATCTCGAAATAAGGTTCCCGCAAGCCTACTATCCTTATCTCGGAATTTTCTCCTCCATGCCCGCAACACGTCCTCCATACGCCTAGGCATCACCCAATTCATATGTTGGGAAGCTAGAATAGTGTTCCACAACCACCGAACACCTTCACAATGGAGAAACAAATGGTCATTCGTTTCCCCGTCTCTCTTGCACATATAACACCATTCGGTAACATAAAAACCTTTTCTACGAAGATTATCCACCGTTAATGCCTGCCCCGTCACAACCATCCATAACAAGAAAGCCACTCGTGGGGGCAGTTTACATTGCCACACCATCTTCCAAGGAAATGAACTTTCCATCGATCCCAATATGGATCTAAAATAAATGCGAACTGAGAAAATACCAACCCGTGCCAACTTCCATCTGCTCCTATCACCCTCTCCCACCTGAATATGCACCTCGTGCAAGGAGGTCAAAAACAGTGCATGATCATCCAATTCCCAATCCTGCAAACCCTTCTCAAAGGCAATATTCCAACTATAATTTCCATTATGTATGACTAAGACATAGATTACACTACTGTTTATGCATGTTCTCCTTGAAATACTCAAATGCAATCTCCACAAACCAGCTTTTATAGATTAATCCCTTGATGCTATCACAAATGGAAGATCTAGACGGAATATGAATCTGATAATCAGTAGTCAAACAACCTAGGCAGCATTCACAAGCATATCATTATTGGCCAATAAGACCATAGTATTCATTTAGATTCTCTGAACATTGATTTATAATAAATATTATTTCAAGATATATCTGTATTTTTTAAACATGTTTTAATAGGCTATATTTAGTTGAGAATATGGTATTCCTCATTTCTTAGGAATTATGATTGTTAAGTAAATTCTGAAGACCAAAACAGAAAACAAAAAAAGGAAAAAAATCATTACATCTTTAAACTTTATTAGGAAACAACCAACTGAACCAAGTTACTAAACCTTGAAGTCACTTTCCTAGGAAACACTTGTTCTTCTACTTGGGTTTGGAGGATGTTCAAATTGTAGCAGTAAAATAGTAAAGGTCAAATATCATTTGGCATGCATTGCAATTGCAGAACAAACACATTCTAAATGAAGGGAGAAGGCCTATCTATCCAAACTAAGGATGATGCTGAGGGTGAAGGCTGAATTCAAGTCTCAACAGTCTGCTCATTGCATCACCTGACTCACAAGCTCATGCTTTTGGACCGAGTTACATGCCTATTCCATATTGCCGTATTACTCCCATGTAACCAGGGAGATAGTCCCCCCCCCCCCTCTAGCTATTGCAACCGCGAGGGAAAAATGCAGCAATCATGGATTCTATGCGCCAGAATCCCCAAAACAAACAGCAGGATATACATAAATACCATGATCCACTACTGACGAAATTATCTCATTGTACGGTAAAAGCCATGAAGAAGACATTGATTATATGGGCTAGAATCCCCAAACAAACAGCAGCAAACGCATTAGAAGACCATGGGCCACTAATGATGTTATCTTGTCATGTGCTACAAGGGCATAAAGGTTCTGACTTCTTTTGAAGTGCTACAATTCTCTACTTAAGATTTTGTAAATTCCAAGACTATCAAAAAGTATATCACACATAAACCTCGTACCAATTTTTTGGCCAGCTCTGCCTCTTTCTTCTGGAAAGATGCCTCATCACCAAGGAAAATTGAGGAGCTATCTGCATCAAAGGTGCTGCCTTCTTCTCTATCATACCTATAAATCACAATATAACCAATTAATTATGTTCTTTAGTTAAACTATATGGTACCGACATTTAGAAATATTTAGGAACACAAAAACAGCATAGGCCAATGGGCATGAAATCCAGTATTGGAAATAGAAAACATGAATTGGACTTGACTTCAACAATAACATTACGGGTATTGAAGAAGAAGCTTCTTGAACTTTTATGCATACTTGAGAATAAGAAGTATGTATGCTACCTTTTTCCATCTTCATATCTCAAATTTTAACCCAAAAATAAAGATAAAAATCAGTATATTGTATTACATGAAAAATAAAATTTAACAGTGCATATATTAGAGCAATATCTAAATTGAATGATACCAACAATTTATATGTTCTGTTTTCTACATGACCAAATCTTTGTCTCCCTCATGTTTGATGCAATACTAATCTGTATCCCCAGTCATTGTATGTACACTAATAATCATCCTAACTAATATCCATGCTCTTGTACATATTAAATAAACTCAAGAAAAATAGTCGTATGAAATTACCATGCACGGTCAGAATTGTACTCCATCTCTAAACGCATACTTTCAGTAATCTCTTCATTCTGGTCTTTTGATATATAATCTGGGCCATCTTCTCCATCCTATAACCAGAAAAGGAGACCACAAAAAAGAAAGAAAAGAATACCACTTGTCAGTTCAATTAGAAAGCATAGCTGAGTATAATTTTGAGGAAGATTTTTCCATAAGAAGTTAGAAATAGAAGGAAATGAGAAACTGAATACCTCCGATGATGGCAACTTATCCCCAGAAAAAGTAGCATGATTAAACTTCCCAACATATCGGGAACTTGAAGATCTAACTGATGCGCCGGATGCCCGAATTGGAGTTGGAGAAGGAGCAATGCTATCCCAAGGAGATGCAGCACCGCCTGTGCACGTTCAACTTTCCTGTTAATTATGTCTAAGAAGTTTGCCTAAAAAGCCATACAAATTGATTTCAAATCAAGATCATGCAGCTTAAAAGACGTTATCAAGAATTACATGGCATACCATTAGAATTAGGGGTACGACCTCCCAACCATGGGGAAACAAGTCGTGCATCCGGGGAGGCTCCAACAAACATAGGGTACGGTGAAGGCTCATGGTGTCTGCTGCTAGAAATGCGACCATCACGTCGTGGGGTATCTTCCCACTCCCAACGGCCATCATCCCAGTTAGATCTACCTGAGGTGTAGGCCGAGTTTCAATATGATTACTATATGCATTGCAAGTTGAACAAAGAAAAATCAGCATGAATCTGGAAAGCAAAACCACTCGTCTTCTATGCAATATGCAAAAACAAAACAGCACATGACAGCAATAGAGTTCCATGTTATTTTGAATTTCAATAAAATTCATCAATCTTTTGACAGCATTTTCAATTAAACTTTTACTTGAGCGAAACGCCGCTAAAAGGAGTATACGACAAAAGAAAGTCACAAAGCAAACATACAACATACCAGGTGTCCTCCTAGAACTATCATATCTACTCCTTTTTCTTTCATAGTCTCCACTGCGATCCTTCTCGTAACCACGTGATGATTCTCTAGGAGTCCTCTCATCCCTATAAGTTCCACTTCTCATTTCTCTACTTGAACTTCTGTAGCCTTCCCTATATTTGCTTCTACTCCTATAATGGTCAGCATTGTCAAAACTTGGACTCCTTGATCTTGAGCTTCCAGTAGATGCACTTGGAACCTGAAATTATATGAAAAAGTCAATGATTACTGCAACTGAACAACTTAGGAATTGCTCATGCATATGATCAAATTACTAGCAATCCCATTGAACACATTTTCCATGGCTTAGAAAATTTATTTTAGATTTAATCATTAACTTTAGCCAGTAAATTTAAAGCTACATACAAGGATCTAGTTTGCTTACAAAGACGTCTAAAAGGGCAAATTATTATTGCTTGTCTTGAGCCAATTCATAAACAAGATATAATAATGAGGCTATAAAGTTGTCATTCCAAATGCAAATAAATTGTCACGATAACAAGAGGGAACCCGCTAGAAAAGTCCGCGGGGAAATTACAAGTACCTGCATATACTTATCCTTGTGCCGCTGTGTGAATGTGTCGTTCGATTGATGTTCAGTTACAGCACTCTCTGCAAATTCATCAAAGAAATCGTTAAAAAGATAAGTAAATCAAAATGGTAAAAAAACTAGCATGAAGGAAACTCATTTAATTTTTACCTACATCTAAGTGTTGAGGTTTATATGCCTATACAAGCATATGCTGTCTGCAATTGACTGCCTAAGGTATTTATACAAAATAAAACACAAGAAGGTACCTGAATTAGATTCTACAGTCGATGCCGGTTCACGATATCGCCTATTAGCATAATTGCGTGCACCATTTGATACAACATTTCCGACTTCATCAAGTCCTGAAGAAGCAGACTTCTCTTCATCTTCATCAAGTGATGCAGCAACAGATGCAACTCTTTCTCTGGGGACCCTGAATGCCCCCTCATCTCTAGGTCCTCCACGTTTTGTATTGGCAAGAATGTCAAGCCCTGATCCAGTAACCAAATGCATATAATTAAAGAAAGAAGAAACAGAAATATTCAGAGTATAAAATGGAAAGTCAGCAGAGGATAAGATGTGATGCAATATTTCCGCAAGAAAAATGAAATGAAAGAAGAGAAAGAAAGATATGATTGTGAGGTAACAATCCTTGGTACCAAAGTCAATTAATTCAACCATGAGGGACCCAAAAAATATCGTGGAACTCAAGAGAGAATATCACATTTCTAAATTATGGACAGGTAGTTGATACTGCAGGACAAAATATGCTACACAAGCAAAAATCAGCCTACCAAAAGATCAGACAAAGAAGACTTCGCTCATGCAAATCACATGCCAAAAATTTGAAGACATGCAAGGTGAAAACTAGCAGCCTGGACCTTATCTAAGTACTCCACTCCACATTTACACAGCCCTCCTTCCTCCATATTTAACCCCCAACCCAAAAAAACACCCACTCACTTTCTTTGAGGAAATTGTCGCTGCCACCAACCACCATTGCCTGATTCAGTAGACAATTAGGCAACTACCAGAGTTGGCAATTGTATGACATGAACCTAAGCTTGAACTCTATACTATTAAGCATTAACATCAAAGAATACTACTTCAGAATTCTTGATTATCGGCAGAAATACGACCTGTACTTTATAAAGACATAGTGATATGAAAGCATACCTAAAAGTGATTTCCTCTCGGGAGGTTTGAACATTACTCTATCCTTCCCAGGTACAAACAGACCGCCACTGCTGGTCTCCTCGGATTCCAAAGTTTCTGTTGTTTTGTTAGGGTCAATAAATCTACCATCTCCTTTTCCCTGAACATGAAAAATTAATGAGATTAAGCATTCATTAACTTCAAAAACAGGTAAAAGTAAACAAGACATAGCAAATTAAACTTTGATGGGAAAATTACAGGTAGACAGAAAATCAAATTTCTCTACATATACTTATTTCAAGGAAATCAAAGCGCGGCTAGCATAGATATCATACTGACCTCCATATCAATTTGATTAACGTCTTCTCCAACGACAACCCTTAGACAACTAAACCCTCAGCAGGATTAGATCGAGGTTACGTTGAAATTGAATTATTCAATCGAGTGCGAAATCAACACAAGATAAAATTGGTTCTTGATTTTTTACTTGGAAGAGTAATGCTACATGTATGGGGAAATTTTCACAGAATTTTTTCAGGATTCCACATGACACAATTCATTGGCAGATAACACAAAAAAAAAAAAAAGAATCTTTGTCTGCAAATCAGGTGCTGCTATAGGGATTCTGTGAAAGAATTCCTGTACTTGGACAAGTTTCCAATATTTATCTCACACATGACCTCCTTGAATTCTTGACCCTTCAGCTACCCAAATTCTTGCTCTTGATGTCGAGCACAATTTTACTGATGCAGTGCCATGAATTTGTAAAAATGACTCTGAATCTCTTTTAGAAAGTTTCATTCACCTACTCAAATAGTATTTCCTTTTACTATATAATTTTTTTCCTTAATCCTTCTATTTTTCTTTACTTTATCAAACAAGAATTTTATTTTCTTTTCCATGAATAAATTCTTTTATACAATAAATTTTGGTCTAACAATTTTATTTTATTTATTTATTTTTGTTTTAACTCAAACAATTAGGAGACAATACAAGACGCTTCTTGATTTTACACATGCCTAGGTAAGATTTTGACATTACCTCCTGATACTACAAAAAATTATACCTGTAGATATTTGAACTTGATGACTGAGATTGGTCACGAACGAGATCTTTCGAGACCTGAAACAAAAGTTTCGAGGTGTGTTCTCGTCGCCCTTCCGATGTTTAAGTTAGAGAAAGAATGTGTGTGTAAGGCCATGAATTGAAAACAATGTAAAAATGTACCTCAACATTGAACTTGTGGTCATGTATTTATAGATGTTGATTGTAGAGTTGTAAAATGATCTAACTACACGTAACCCTTATTCTTATCATGTAAAGTATTTTGTTATATTGAAAATGTTATGTTTGAGTTTGAATCGAACCGTGATAGATAAACAATGAGAATAAAGGTCATGGGGAATTATAATCGAAATGGGATTTAGTATTATCTAGAAGGTGTTAGATAAAGATTATGTTCCGTGATGTACAGCCCAACCTTATCATCAGAGGCGGACCCACGTGGGTCCTAGTGGGTCATGTGACCCACCAACTTCCAGAAATTGATTATTTATTTATTTATTATTTTTTTTTGTGCCTTCAGTCCTCTTCAGCATGACCCAGAAGAAGACTCCAGTGTCCAAATGGAAAAATCGAAACCCATCCCTAGTTCCCTTCCCTTGGAAAATCAAAACCCATTTTCTTCTTCTTCTTATGTTGATGAACACTCTTCCACCGACATAGCATACTATAAATGTATTTAGTTGTGTGTATTGTGTATGTATTTAAAAAAAAGTCCCATAGTGAATCCGTCCTTGATTGGTGATATCATAATTCAGGAACTAAGTTGGGCAAGGATTTTTGGATAGTCAACACATAGGTATTGAATTATTTGGCTGTCGTTCAGAGAAATGTGTGTTGTATTGTGTATGTAATTATCATGTAAAAAGAAAGTTAGAGAACCGAGAGTGGAAAAGAGGTAAAGGGTGAAACAAAGAGAGGAGAGAGAGAGAGAGAGAGAGAGAGAGAGAGAGTTGTGAGTGAATAAACTAGAAAGTCATAGAAACCAGTATGCCACCGTGTGTTTTATTGGAATGAGAAAATTTCATTTGGCCTTTGGGGGAATAAAATAATAAAATATTGTATAGTGGTCTTTGATTATCAAAGTTGTGTAACTTCATTTCATTTCATTAAATTTTATTTTTCATGTCTAAATTCAATAGTGATGATCTAGAGTAGTCGGATGAAAATGTTTTGGTTATCCGTATATATCGGTAATTTTTTTTTCAAACATTTTTTTATTTTTATTTTTTACAATATTTTTGCAATTTTGATTGTGTCAGGGACAGATCTAGGTTCGGACTACAAGTCGGACTAATGCGTAACAAATAGGGATGGCAACGGTTCGGTTCGACCAAAACCATTACCGAACCGTCAAATTTTTTATCATACCATAACCGTATCATAACCACGTAAATCGGTTTGGTTCATATCTCGGTTCGGTTCGGTTCGATTAATAACCATGAAAATAAATTATTTTTTATATGTCCATCCGTCAAATTGATATAAAACAATTTATGAAAAGAAAGTCAATGAAAACGAAAACACAATATTCCAAACGAAATGCAAACATTATCCCAAATTCCAATTGCAAAATACAAATTTAACAATTATTATAATGAATATAACAATACTAAATTTTTCCTTCATTCTTGATTTTTGTGCATTGTAATACTTGCTCCATGCTCAATAATTCAAAAGTTTCAACCTTAACTCATATTCAATATTCATTATTCCCCACAACGCTTACTAGCATAGGTCAACACTCAAAATTGATTCCTATATAGTAAATAAGAAATATAAGTAAAGAATATAACGATACAACCTAATCCAAAATGATTTTAACTAAGATTTAAATAAAAAAATGTATCTCTTCGTCAATTTCCTCTTCACTAAACTTTGTCATCCCTAATAAAAGAATGATTTTTTTAAAGTGGATAATCGGTTCGATTTCGGTTCGACAGCATAAATACCATACCCTCACCACCACGAACCGGTTTATTAAAGTCAAATGTCATATCCGCCCCATTGCTCCTTCGGTTCCATTTTTTCGTCCCATTTGGTTCGGTTGACTGCGATTTTCGATTTTAAAAGTTCAAATTGCTATCCCTAGTAAAAACTGGGCTAACATGTAAAAAAATTAAATGTACACATGATTTTTTTACTTATTTTTATTTATTTATTTATTTGGCCCTAAAAACTATTAAGAGGGTGTTTGGGACTCATTTTCATATAAAAATGCATTATAGAATAGTAAAATGATGGAAAATGTGTGATTAAAAAATGAGGAAAAGTTTTTGATTTACATGTAATATTATTTTAATAAAAAATATTTGGTTAAAAAGAAGAGAGAGAAAAATGCATTTTGAAGAAACTGGGTATCAAACGGGGCCTAAGTGAGCTGGGGAGGGGACTGGGCTACAACCCAGCCCAATCTCCTATATCCGGGATTTTGCCCCACTAATTCAAAATTTCTGCGTCCGCCACTGGTGGGTGGTGGTGGTGCTAGTAGTGGTGAGGTATAGGCAATGGTGATTGTGGTTCATTGAAGGTGGTGGTGATGGTAGAGCATTCGACGTGGTGGGGTGGTGCGCTGTAGATATGAGGCAACAATGTATTTTGGGTGGTGTGGACGATAATGAAAAATGTGGGGTGAGTTTGGAGAGATCGATGGGTAAGTCGTGATCATTTAATTAGATAATAGTGACAAGTTAATTTGATAATTTGTGATTGAAAAATTAGTTTTGACTGACCAATTTAAAATTTTGAAACTAAATTTACAACTGTATCTTACATTTTGTGTCTTTATGACCATAATATTATGTGATTGTGATTAGTAGATAAATGTGACCTATTTAATTATTTATTTAATCAATATTGCCTAATTTTTGAAAGAATTTCTCAAATTTGACATACTTAATTATTTTCCCAACCTAAAAACTTAACTTTGGGCTTGTAATTTATCTAAGAATCTAACTGTGAGAAATCAAATTGCAGAGTCTTGCTTGACTGTTGCGCTTCGTGTCTCTTGCCTTACATCAGATTGTTGCATCGCCAAGGTTAGTACTTGTTAATTTTTGTAATTTGTACTTTCTATGAATCAAAGCTTTCAAGTTGTGGTTAAATTTAATTTGTTTTTGCACATAGTGATTTTTTCGTTTGATTTTCAACTTGATTTTATCAATCTGGTTTCTCAATCTATTTTGAGGCTTTAATAAAATCATTTATAGGTTTTCGATCTGATCACTATCGATTTCCTTATTTCAAGTAATGAAATGGAAATACTTAATTATTAAATTGGGTTAATTATTTGAATGGTTATTGAACTATAACAGATGCTATTACTTAATAAATGAACTTAAAATTACATCTTAATGATCACTAAACTATATCAAGTATTACTACTTAATAATTGAATTTAAAATTGTATCTCAATGGTTATTAAACTATGCACAATGTTACTCGTTTATCACTTAGGTTGATGCCATTTGTTGAATCTAACGATAATAATTGTCAAACAAATTTCTTAAGTGGACGACATTAGACATCCACCCAAATCTACCAATTAAAGCATGTTTATAAAACATGATTTAGGTTGCAATTTTTAATATCTTACCGCTGAAAGAAGGCCTCCTTATCTCCCAATAAGATGTTAAAAATTGCTGCCTAAATCACATATTGCAAACACGCGCTTTGCTTACGTGGATTTGGATGGATGTCTGATATAGTCCACGTATGAAATTTATTTGACACGTGTGAAGGTTTGTTAGATTCAACAAATAGCGTTGACTTTAGTGATACATGGGTAACACGGTGCAGTGTTTTGTATACTTCAGGGACCATTTAAATAATTAACCGAATACAAATTTGTCTCAAATGCACAAATTTGTAAAATGCATAGCATATATCAAAAGAATTGGGAAAAGGAGTGGGAGAATTTTCATAAAAAAAAAAAAAAAAAAAAAAAATAATAATAATAATAATAATGAAAAATGAAAAAATCATTTGTACTAAAGATGATTTAAAATGTTCCTTTTTAGTATAAAATGTCCATATTACCGTTAGTGACATTTTTTTAGGAGCATTTAATGTTTGATTTGAATGCTATTAATTTTGTGGTGTAATGATTTATTTTGTATATTATAAATATTGGAGATATGATTATTATATTGGGTAGTATGAATTTTGGTAAAAAAAATAAAAAATAAAAAAATTGAAAAGCTTAAAAAACGCATAACTTCTTACCATTCACAAAATTTAACTTCTTATCCATCCTTTTCATTTCATCATCAAGAAAACATTACTATTGGATTCATCATCCATTTTCAAAGGTTTGCTATAGCAATTATTTATATTTTCATCTTATAGCTTACTTTTAAATGTTAAATAGAACATAGTTATATTTATTTGAAATTTGTTAAACTCTATTCATTG